AGTAGCTAGCATTAACCAGGCGGAGGAGGTTAACGGCAGCGCAGCGCGGACTGGATTCATCGTGTGAGAGACAGACAGAAAAGGAGAGAGAGAGGGAGAGAGAGAGAGAAAGGCCCAGAAGAGGAGAGAGAGGGGAGAGAAGAGGTATAGTGTGTGTGATTTCGGATACTTTTAGGTTTATAATCAAGTCTTCATCACGAGAAGAGTAGAGAAAATACAGGGAGAGGAGAGAGAGACAGTAAATCAGTGTTTGTATTATGAAAGACTCAGATTCATAGAACTGGATTGGAGAAGCATTGTGCGTTATATGCCATGGCATTAATATGCTTTATAAGTTTGTAAAAGCAATACACTAAAATACCCTTTAAAAAAAAAAAAATATATATATATATATATATAGTTTTATTAGTATTTTTATTCAATGCTTTGAAAAATAAGTTAAATCTTTGTAGACTATAAATACATATGTACTATATATCATTTATTTAAATATGTGGGCAACAAATTATAGATTAATTTTATTTAAAAATTATTATATTATTCTTATTTTTTAAATTCAAATATAGGGGTGCGGCCAGGTAGGGGGCCTTACAAGATAATGTGCCCAGGGGCCCCTGAGTTCTTAATCCGGGCCTGGCGATCACTATCTGTTCATCAGCTGCTACAGCATGGGAGTTCTCCAAATCTACCTGAGCTCAAACTCCCCTCTCGCCTTGCAAGTGGGAGGGAGCCCCGGGCTCAAGGATCTTATAAGCTCAGGGCTCTCTCCTGGGACAGCATGTCAAACACGCTTTATAATCAATCATCAGCTGAGCGTGAACTCTTAAAACAAAGTAATGCCGATACACACGCACATCGGATTAACTATAGCAGCAAGCCGTTAACATATTGCGTTTTTTCCGCACACAAGTACGTTATTTCCAATGGAGACGTGCGCATATTGGGAGCGGTGCGCACACAGCTCGCAATCAGACTGACGCACTTGCGCCCTGCAGATTCATCAGAAATTATCTCACACTGTAGTGGTGAGAGTTGTGCGTGGCTTTTAGTGCAATTTACACAAAAGATACGTTACTATAAATTATTAAAATAATAATGTATGAATAATGCAGATAAAAACAACAGTTCATTTAAATTCTTAGCTAAAAAATAGCTTAAATTGACATGTTAATTTATTTATTCAAATTTGTATTTATTTATTCGTTGTTCTGTCGTTTATTTTCATTGTAAAATCAAAAACTTTTTCATTTATTTAAAGTCCAAAAAGAGAAATGGACTGTTGTTTGTGTTTTATTAATATTTTGGGCTGTATTTGGTTACTGAGCAGCAATAAACAACACTTTAAAATATGAGCAGTTTTCTTGTGATTTTCTAAATGTTGGAATACCAAGCCAATTCCATGTATGTTCAATAAGAAAAGGTCTGGAGAGGGTTTTCTTCAATGCCAAAAATATTAGTAATTTATTAGATACAAATGAATAGTTAGATGACAGAGCTCTGGGTTACATTACCCCAATGCAATACAAGAATTACATTCAAGAGGTTCGCAACTCACCTACATTTCCTGACTCCAGCATATACACACAACTGATCTTAACGGGTGGAGTTTTGCTGTAACGTCACTTATCAGTCATTCTGCAGTCCCTTTTAGTGTTGCACCCAGACATACTTCCTCTTTCTTGCAACCCTCCTCTGCATACCAGAAACTGACCAATTACATGCATCTTTAATATATTTCACACTTCTAC